TCCAGCACTGGGTTTCAGCTGGAAGGGCATCCGCTATGTAAAACATATGCTGGAATATTTGTCGGTTCATTCCGCTGTGGCTTAACTGATTAACTAAACTGGCCGTAGTGTATGAGTGTGTATGGGTGTTTTCCAGCACTGGGTTTCAGCTGGAAGGGCATCCGCTATGTAAAACATATGCTGGAATATTTGTCGGTTCATTCCGCTGTGGCATAACTGATTAACTAAACTGGCCGTAGTGTATGAGTGTGTACGGGTGTTTTCCAGCACTGGGTTTCAGCTGGAAGGGCATCCGCTATGTAAAACATATGCTGGAATATTTGTCGGTTCATTCCGCTGTGGCTTAACTGATTAACTAAACTGGCCGTAGTGTATGAGTGTGAATGAGTGTGTATGGGTGTTTTCCAGCACTGGGTTTCAGCTGGAAGGGCATCCGCTATGTAAAACATATGCTGGAATATTTGTCGGTTCATTCCGCTGTGGCTTAACTGATTAACTAAACTGGCCGTAGTGTATGAGTGTGAATGAGTGTGTATGGGTGTTTTCCAGCACTGGGTTTCAACTGGAATGGCATCCGCTATGTAAAACATATGCTGGAATATTTGTCGGTTCATTCCGCTGTGGCTTAACTGATTAACTAAACTGGCCGTAGTGTATGAGTGTGTATGGGTGTTTTCCAGCACTGGGTTTCAGCTGGAAGGGCATCCGCTATGTAAAACATATGCTGGAATATTTGTCGGTTCATTCCGCTGTGGCTTAACTGATTAACTAAACTGGCCGTAGTGTATGAGTGTGAATGAGTGTGTACGGGTGTTTTCCAGCACTGGGTTTCAGCTGGAAGGGCATCCGCTATGTAAAACATATGCTGGAATATTTGTCGGTTCATTCCGCTGTGGCTTAACTGATTAACTAAACTGGCCGTAGTGTATGAGTGTGTACGGGTGTTTTCCAGCACTGGGTTTCAGCTGGAAGGGCATCCGCTATGTAAAACATATGCTGGAATATTTGTCGGTTCATTCCGCTGTGGCTTAACTGAAAGCTGAAGGAAAATGAATGAATGTACTGTATGAATGAAAAGCAGCCGCGCACCTCTCTGTGTTATTGACGGCGTCTCCGAAACCCGGAGTGTCCACGATGGTGAGTTTGAGCTTGACTCCTTTCTCCTCGATGTCCACCGTGTGTTTGATGATCTCCACCGTCTGGCTGATGCGCTCTGGACACAAACACGCAATCAATTTAACACAACACGTACGATTATTTCTTTCAGTTATTTATAAGCCACTAGATCATACCGAATGTTTGTTCAAATCTAGAGAAATAACCAATTCAGGTGCTGTATGTACGTGTTTGACTTCTCTAAAGCATAAAAACACCATGATATGTGTAGATGTCTAAGAAACTTGCTGAGCGATCATTCTTGTTTATCTGGAAAACCATGCTGAAGTCAGATATTCTCCTTTGAGGATGTGCATTTCGTGTCTGAATGTCAGTTTAGCCAAATATATATTTCAGCACTCCTGGGGCCTGTTTCAGAAAGGAGGTTAACTGAAAACTCAGAGTATTTTAACCCTGAAATGAGAGAAACTCTGGGTTTTCCGTTTCAAAATGGCAGGTTTGTTAAACTCGAGAAAGCAGGGTAAGTCAAGCCTGTTTCTGAAAGAGAGGTAACTTTAACTCAGAGTCAGTTACTGTGGTAACTTACTCTGTGAATCTAACCTGGTCAGAAGCAGGTTTTATTCTCTAAACTCAGAGTTTCTGTCGGTCTCCTCCCCTTTTTTAAGATGAAGCGGTATTTCTCGCCTTAGCCTCACGTTTCCACCCACCTATTTTTATGCTTATTTTGGATACGTGCATAAAAACGATTGATAGAAACGTCATGATGCACATAACTTTTTAAAATATGCATAAAAAACGCGCATAACTGAGTAGGATAAACTTTTATTCAATAGAAAATGTGCGCATAAACTACGATGGAAACACTTTTACTGAACAAATTACAGTACATTAAAAAAAGATCATGATCATATGATGATGAAAATGTGTGTAAATGAACAAACCAGCAGGCTGAGCACACTGTAACATGTCTTAAATATTGTTTTAGTCATTCTAAAATGCCTGAACTGTTTCAGTATTAGTGTATATTATTAATTACCTCCGAACGTCTGGTGCATGTCAAGAGTCTCCGCGTCTCATGGCTTTAGACGCCCCCACGTGTTCATTGTGTTTCAGCATTGTCTTCTGACATCGAGGTGCAAGTACATTAATTAGGCTAAATGAAGAATTAATTGACGCAGCTTTTTCTACCACAGTAAATTCTGTTTTTACTGTTGATATTTGGTGCCAGTTTAATCAGGAAATGACGATTTTTTTCTCTTTGACTCGTTGGATGGAATTTTATTCGCATCTTTTATGCAATATTCCAGTTTTGCACATACATTTATGTAATATATTTGGATGGAAACATAGCTATTGCCTACATTTTAGTCACACACAGAAGAACGGTACTAGAATGGCTTATCCTTTTTAAATAAATAATTAAATTCACCTTCGACATGCATGTAACTAGATTAATGGGATTATTATTCTTTCTAAAAATTATTTTTAGTACTGTTTACCTTCTAAATGTTATATTAACCTCTATCACTTGATCAATAAAAAAGGCAGACACACAAGTGCACCGTTAAATCATTTAAAACATAATAAATGTATAAAAAAAAGTTTAGAAAAAAATATAAACGTCACAAATTACATTACTTATTTTATTATACTTACATATTTAAATACTTAAAAAGTGAAATTAGGCATTAACTTGAGCAGCTGTTTTCCCACGCTAACTGTCTCTTCTTCACTGATGGTTGCTTCTTTTCAAATATATACGCTCATATTTGCTATAACTTTGCATGAGAACATCAAGTTCAGCTGGAGAAAGAAATGCTGATCTCTTTTATAAGATATTGCCATAGTCACTTGTAATGTCTGCGCTCCATTGATAATGCCTTTTTAAAGTCACGGTGCGCGCGCTTAACTCTGAGTTGGTCTACTCTAAGTTGATTGACCCAACTCAGATCAGCTATTCTGAAACCGAAAACTCAGAGTTTTTAATCTCTCAGTAAATCAACTCAGAGTTCAAGTTTAAACTCTGAGTTGTTTAAACCTCCTTACTGAAACAGGCCCCTGGTTACGTTGGTGGAAAACTGTGTATTATGAAGAACCCGATGTATGAGGACAGGACCGAAAATGTGACCTCCAGAGGAGAGCATCAGCCTCTGAAATGAGACGCAGAATCAGAGTAATAAAAATCCCCATGAGGTGGTTTTAAATGAGCAAATAATATAAATATTACAAACGTAAACAGTAGCTAGCCTCGGCTTGTGTTATCAATCTGGCAACCTGCGTGTGTGTCAATTGGTCAAAGAAGGGGCCGGATCAAAAAAGCACTATCCAATGTTTTGGATTTGGACTGCAATATCTAGTTCAACCACAAGATGTCATGCATACAGTTGAAACCAGAAGAGTACATACACTGTATTAAAGGCACATAACCATTAAAAAACAAGTCAGATGTTAATGTGACTAAACTTCTTTTTCAGGTAAGTTAGGATGATCAGATGTGCTCTGTTATGCTTGATAGCAGAATAATGGGAGATATTTTTGGAGAAACTGTTATAACTCTTCTTAAAAGTCAAGTTTACACACAATAAGATTATTCTGCCTCTGTAAAGCTCAGATGATGATGTCAAGGTTCTGGAGGTTTCTGATTGGTTAATTGACAACATTTGAGATAATGTGAGGCAAAACTGTAGAATAGTGTTGAAGGAAAAGCTCAAACACACTGCTCCCTTCTGTGACAACATGGGGAAATCAACAAGCCAGAATCAACAACAAAGCCAGATTTCCATTTGCTAAATGACACTGGGGAAAGACTAATGTTTGGACACATGTCCTGTGCTCTGATGGATATAAGATTGAACTGTTTGGCCGTAATGAGCAGTGTTACATTTGGAGGACAAAGGGGAAAGCGCACAAGCCTAGGAACACCATCCCAACGCCAGCATCCTGTTGTGGGGCTGTTTTGCTGCAGGAGGGACTGGTCCACTTCACAGCATAGATGGCATCATGAAGACAGAACATTATGGAGGAATACTGAAGCAACATCTCAACACATCAGCCAGGAATTAAAAGTTGGCCACGAATGGGTCTTCCAAACAGACCATGACCCTAAGCATACTGCCAAATTAGTTCCAATGTGCTTTAAGGACAACAGAGTGAATGTTTTGGAGTGGCTATCACCAGGGCCGGCATGTCCATTGAGGCGGCCTAGGCGGCCGCCTAGGGCAACAGTTTAGAGACGGCGGCGTCCACGACACCTCCCTTACCACCCGCATCCTTAGATACATTCGCGCATAGGGGACAGAATAGAGAGGGTGGCATCAGCAACGCCTCCATCAGCACTCACGCGTCCTCAGTTATATCCGCGCATAGGACGGCAGAATAGAGGTCTGCGACACCTGTGTGTCCTCAGTTATCCGCGCATAGGACGGCAGAATAGACGTCCGCGACACCCGTGTGTCCTCAGTTGTATCCACGCATAGGGCTGGAGAATAGAGGGCCGTGACACCTCACTTCATTTTCATAACCGGTCACTTTCGTTTTCACATTGGGGTTGAGGGCGGCGTGATCATCCTCTGCCTAGAGCGGCAGTTCAGCTTGCTCCGGCCCTGGCCATCACAAAGCCCTGATCTCAATCCTATGGAAAATGTGTGGGGAGAGTTGGAAAAGCTTGTGCGAGCAAGACAGCCTACAAATCTGACTCAGTTACAGCAATTCTGTCAGGAGGAACGGGCCAAAACACCTGCAAACTATTGTGAGAAGCTTCTGGAAGGAGACCTAAAACGCAAAAAAAAATAGCAAGGAAATGTGTGTAAACTTTTCACTGTCTAGAAATTAATAAAAAAATCTCTCATTATTCTGGCATTTAGCAAATGTAAATGATTTAGGTA